CCTAAAATTTAAAACTTTGAATGCTTATGAAATAAATGCAATACTATCATTAAATCCCGAAACAGAGCATAACTAAACATAAGTGTTAGGGTGCTATGCCACATTTGAGCTGGAGAACTCAGATGCACAGGCTAAACTATCTAAACATCAGAAATCCTCGAATCAATGTCAAGTACATCATCATGGAACGCATGCCGAAAAGGAACTAAACTAACTAAGCCTCGGGTCCTCTAGCGCGCTCCGGAGCTACTCATCTGTGCCTGAAAGCCAAATATATCTATTCAGCGAATAATGCGGGTAACCCACTCCAACGTGTTAAAATACAATATAGGTAGATATATATATATACTTATATATATATATATATATATATATATATATATATATATATATATATATATATATATATATATATATATATGGAAAATGGAAAACCATTTTGAAGCCGGAATACATATATACTTATGAAACTCTAATTTAAAACCGAGAATAAACTCAACAAGTAAGGGTAGGCACAGGCATCAGATATAATCACGCATATAAAGATACTAGCATACACCCTAAGGTCACAAGACTATTTCATATCAATCATATCAATCACTATTTCAACCACGTATACACATTTGGTGGTGCCGCAGGGCCAATCGCATGCCCATACATGAGGGTCAGCGCATATAGCTCTGACACGGCCCCGAAGCGCCCTGCCTTGTACCGCAGCACAAGGGGATTGATCGCAACCAATCGATGAACCGCAGCTCATTTATAACGTTTGATCACAACCAAACGGTGGACCGCAGCCCGAATAGTATGTATATCTGATCGCAACCAAATTATGGACCGCAACCCTATATAAATTTATATACCCGTCCGATCGCAACCGGCCGGGTTAACAGCCGATGGTTCTCAACCCATCCAACTGCCTGTATAACCAATTGATCGCAACCAATTGGGGTATCATGCACAAATAACACATAGCCAAGCACATGCAACCCATATTAACACATAGGGAGGGGAAGTCATACATATATAACTTATGCATGGTCAACCACATTACTAGAGATACGCCTAAGGGGTTCATGCACCTTTCTCCTAGGTCAATGGGGTACCAATTCGACTAACATGCAATACACAAGACTCTCCTATCCTATGAACGGTACCCGAAATATCAAACTAGACTCAGGCACGACAAACTGGATCCAATGGGATGCCACAGGGCACGGGGAAACATCAAACGGGGAAAACCACCACGTTCCCCACTGGAATTCCAGTGGGTGGCCGGCGGGTGTTGGGCCACCCGTCGGCGGCACATCACGGGGCAGCGGGTGCCCAGCGGGCAGTCGCCTGCCCGCTGCCAGGCGGCCTCATTGGGCAGCGGGTAGGTGGCGGGTACCCCTGCCCCCAGCTACCCCTACTGACTTTTATGTTATAATTCGATCCCGGGATTCCTCGTGGAACCCGAAACCATGTCCAAACACATTTTGACGCAAACGACGACACCACGTAATCAAGTAATGCATTAAAACAAAGAATCACATTAAATACATCCTAACAAGACTCCTAAACATACCAAGACCCAATACCCGATCATGCAAAATCCCACTCAAACATACCAAGAATAACACAATACGAAATCCACGCTTTAACCCTAGGGCTCTAGTCATTATTAAAACACAAGATCATTTATATAATTTATCTTGGAATCAAGAACATCAAGATTATCACATAAGTATCAAGATTAGCATAACATCAAGATCATCTCATAAACATCAAGATTAACTCATAATCATCATATCAATCTCAAGAAAAGCCTTATTAAGGTGCAAACACAGAATCATATATCGAAAGAGCCAATGAAGGAGATTATAGCAAGGAAAATAGATTTTGTTGAGACATGGGTTACCTCTTAGCCTTAATTAGAATCTTTGGCTACTAAGGTTCTTTCTCTAAGATCTCCTTTGTCAAGCGTTGTGATCGAATCGTTAAACCGAAGAAACCCCTTCCAAGCCAAATTCTTGTGCCCTTTTGAGATGGAATCCCTCATTTTTCCTTATAGAATTGAGTACCTCTTTTGTTGAGAAGCCCCTTATACCATTCAGACATCGTTCTTGTTTTCCCTTTGAATTGAATCAGTACAAGGTGGCAACGTTATCTCCTAAGTTGTAATTTTGTGAATCTTGATCCTGTTAATCAATAGCATCCCTAAGAGCAGTCCTGCAATTCTTATCATATTCTTTTGGCACTAAAGCCTTTTTATAACAAGTCTCAAGTTGTATTCTCAAAGAAACTCTATCCAATCTCTTTCAAATCTTTCCAGTCTAAGCTTTGGGGACGAAGCTTATTTTTAAGGTGGGTAGAATGTGACAACCCAAAATATTTTTCCTAAATTCCTATTTTATAAAGTTTCAAAGTAAAATTATTTTATTTCTACGATGATTTATTTCCTAAAATTTTGAGCCAACAGTCAATTCGAGACGAACTCGTATATATTTTATCAGATTTCTATCCTAAATGATTTAATTCTTGAGCCCAAATGTGTTTAATCTAGTCCAAATGTTTTGATTGAGCCCAAATGATTTGGTTGAGCCCAAATTAATTCAAGCCCAACCCATTTATAAATAGTAACCCTATATATATATATATATATATATATATATATATATATATATATATATATATATATATATATGTATATATATATATATATGTATATATATATATGTATATATATATGTATATATATATATATGTATATATATATATATATATATATATGTATATATATATATATGTATATATATATATATATGTATATATATATATAGATATATATATATAATATTATAAATTATATATGTATGTTGTACGTGAGAGCTCAGCCAAAAGAAAAACCAAAATACCCCTATTGTCTCTCTGTCTCTCTCACGGAAAGAAGGAAGAAGCAGCAGCTTCAGGCTCTCTGTCTCTCTCGTCTCCATCCTCCCTTGTAGCTGTAAGAAGACCGGCGACCAGGCAGCAGCTCAGCTACACGCCATCCATCTTCATATCTCCCTCTCTTCCTCTCGACGGCGAGCAGTGTTGACCAGTGGTGGCGACGGCAACGGAGCAAAAATAATCGGCGACCCTCTTCTCCCTTCCTCCCGTTTCCCGCCCTCCTTCAAGCAAGCCAAATATAGATCGACGAGCAGGGGTGGAAAGGTGCTCCGGCGAGGTCTTCTTCCCTCTCCCTGGTTTTCTGGAGTAGCAGCTCAGTGTATTCCGTCATTGGCAGGTTCCGGTGAAACAGAGCAGATCCGGCAGTAGGTCTGTGACACCCCGTAAATCCAAATTCTATTTAAGGATTAATTAGATAATTTTTTTTTTGAATGTTATTGGCTCTATTACATTGTAGTATCTGTTCATATACTTTCTCAACCTACTGAAACACAAAGGGGCTCGAACTCACAACCTTCCAAATGGAAGTCCAACCCGGATACCATTAGACCACATAGTCCTGGTGATTAATTAGATAATTAATCCTAGTTTAATTGGTAACTTACTTCTAAAATCCTGAAAATCCAATAGTCGGAGGACTAGAAATTGACTAGTCAATCCAAGTCAAAGAGTTGTACTCTAGGCTTAAAGAATTGTTCCCTTGTATCCTTACACTTCCCACTTTAGTAAGGGTAAAGAAGACTTTTGACCTTATGTTTGTGTCCCAAGCTAACCTAAAGTCATCCTTCATTTCCTTTCCCTAACACCCTAAATACAAATTTCTCTAGAAAATTGTTAGCTTCTTCTTCAAGCCAAGTTTGGGCAATCCAAGATTCTTCAAGTTGGTCTCCAAGATTCAAACTTTCTTAACCTTGAACATAAGGGAGGGTAAGATCCATGGTCCCTTAGTGTTTTTAATACCTTTTTATGTGTCTTTTCTAAAAAAGAATAGAATCTTTGTTGTCTTTTGGTGTGTTCTTGAAGTTGAAGTTGAAGGAGAACTTTAGGAGAAGCTTTAAGGGTGTGAAAAGTGAAGGTTTAGGCTACAAGAGGTAACTCATGCTTTACAAAATCTATTTTCTTACCTATATGATGATTTCTTGACTTCTACTTGTGATTTTTGCTATGAAATGTGACATTTGATGCATTGTGTTGTGAGAATGCATATCTAGAGCTTGTTATTAGGGTTCTTGTATGCCATTTCTTGGCTATTTCCTTGATTCAAGTCATATTGTTGTATTTTGTGAGATTTTGGGTGTTTTGGACTTGAATTTGGACTTGGTGTTGAAAATCCCTAAAGGGATTATTTTTGGTACAGTAGTGTACCCGCGGGCGGATCGGCGGGTAGTGCACCACCCGCCGCCCCACCCGCGGGGTACATGTGGGTTGTGGGGGTGGTACCCGCGAGCGAAACCACGGGTGGAGGTCCACCCGTGGCCCCACCCGCGGGATACACTATTGGTGTTGTTTGGGGATTTGTTCCCCGTGATTCTTTTGACTTAGTAATTGATGTTTTGACTTCCCGATGTTGTTTTGTTGGGATATTTGAGTGTCTTCTTGATGTTTCTTAGGTCTAGAACTGTATGTTGTGATCCCATGTAGGAGATTGGTGTCTTGAATCGTGCTAATTGTTCAACTTTGTGAATCGTTGAACCATGATGAGTCTTGTATGTTCTTTGGAACTATGTTTGGTTTACTCGTTTGATAAGCATGCTAGTTTGATGTTGAAATGCTAGTGTGTGCGGTTTGTTCTTTCCTTTTGCGGATGGCAACCTGTGTTGATCATCGATGGAGTCGGATTGTAATCCTTCCTTGATAGAATATGGTTTCATATCTTTGTTGTGATCCATTGATTGATTCCTATGATGAATGTGTGTGTTGGATGTACCTGGATTGCACGATTAATGGTATGGGACATTAATCACCAAGGTACAGATGTGGTCCTCGTGGTGGCCTTGAAATGATAATGGAGTTGTAAACTGGGCTTCAGGCTCATGTGATTGGTGGTTGTGTGATTGAAATGTTCGGTACCCTCGTGTACTTTGAGATCGGTGGTTTTGACTTGGTGGATGTTGGAGGGGGAACGACTGTAACACCCTGTGTTACGGCCCATAAACCAATTAATTATTTACTCGGAAAGAGGGATTAAATCTCATTAATTAATTAAGAAAGGTCCACCATGGTCCATGGGCCCTCATCCCTAAAACCAATCCACTAGTCCTATGGGAAATAGAATTAGCAAACTCATACCACTTAGACCCTAATTAGGACCCTTAAATATATAAATAGGGGGCCTAGGAGGCACTTAGAACCCACACCACAATAATCTCTCACCACACAAGAAGTTCCAAGAATTCCCCTAGGAGAAATCAAGAAAGAAGAATCTTAAAGAAAGACCCTTCATAGCCAAGGAAATTAATTAAGGCTAAGAGGTAACCCATGTCTTAACAAAACCTATTTTCTTTGCTATAATCTCCTTCTTTGGCTTCTCCTCTTTACTCGTGTCTTGATAAATCGATTGTGATACTGATGATATGATCTTAATGATTGACGAGATGAATTTATGAGTGATCTTGATGATCTTGATGATGATAGGAAGTTCTTGATGATTATGTGATGTTCTTGATAATTCTTGATGTTTCTTGTTGTTAAAAGATGAACTATGATCTTGATTATTTAAATATGATTAGAGACCTAGGATGAATCGTGAAATTCATATTGTGGTATTCTTGATATATTTGGGTGGGAATTCGCATGTTCGGGTGTTAATTATGCTTAGGGGGCGTTTGGTTCATGGAATCTTGGATTACCTAGGTCATCTGAGTCTGGTAATGTTATATTACCTTGTTTGGTTCAAGTTATGAGATTACCAGGTAATGTTATATTACCTGAAAGCTGATGTGGCGGTAATGTTTCAAGGTAATGTGATTACCCCCATTTCTTTAGGTAATCTTAGATTACCTTGAATTATTCCAACTTTGCCCTTGTTAACTAATAATAATAATTATAATAATAATAATAATAATAATGAAATAAATATATGTTTATATAATCAAATATACATATGTGTATATTTATATATTTAGTTTTTTTTTTAATATTTAAATTTTGATATACATTCATACATATAAATAAATAAATACACACACATAATATATATATATATATATATATTATTGAGGGCATTATTGTAAATTGATTCATATAACCTAAAATATAACCCTGAACCAAACAAGGTAATATTATATTACACCATCCAAACCAAACACACAAGGTAATCTTACATTCCCAAAATCTCACATTACCTTCCAGGAGGTAATCCTATTACCTGGGGTAATCCAAGATTCCGTGAACCAAACGCCCCCTTAGAAATCATGATAGGATATGTGATATTTGATTCTTGCTTTTGATTTGTTAATTGTCTACGTGGTGTCATCAATTGCGTTTAAAAGTGTATAAGCATGGTTTCGGGTTCTACAAACGATCCCGGGACGTTTACTGTGATAAAGAGTCAGTGGGGGGTAGGGGAAACCTGCCACCTACCCGCTGCCCCATTCGGGCGTCGCCGGCTGCCCAGCCGGCGGGCAAGCGATTGCCCGCCGGGCACCCGCTGCTCGGTTTCTCACCGCCGGCGGGTGGACCTCCACCCGCCGGCCACCCGCTGGTTCTCCCACATCGGGATGGTGGTTTCTCCGTTTGATGTTTCCCCGACCCTCGTGGTGTCCCGACGAACTCCGTTTATCGTGCCTAAGTCTAGTTTGATGTTTCGGGTACCGTTCGTAGGATAAATGAGTCTTATATATCACATGCTAGTTGAATTGGTATCTCGTTGGCCTAGGTGAAAGAAGTATGAACCCCTTAGGACTATTCCTAGTTTGTGGATGACCATGCATAGGTTTCTTTATACGTTTCCTCCCCTTTCCCAATGTGTTAATATGAGTTGCATGTGCTTGCTATGTGTTATGTGTGCACGATACCCCAATTTGGTTGCGATCAAATTGGTTATTCCTGAGCTGCTGTTCAGAAGCTGGCTACGGTCAGAATTACACTCTTGGGCTGCGGTCCACCGTTTGGTTGCGATCAAACGTTTTACATGAGCTGAGGTTCATATTCCTGGCTGCGGTCAGATGATCACTCTTGGGCTGCGGTCCACTGTTTGGTTGCGATCAAACATTATGATGAGCTGCGGTTCATCGGTCGGTTGCGATACGAGGCAGGGTGCTGCGGGGCCGTGTCAGAGCTATATGCGCTGACCCTCATGTATGGGCATGCGATTGGTCCTGTGGCGCCAACAAAGTGTGCTTGTGTGATGAGTTGAATGAAGATATAAATAAGATGAAGTGAATCCGTGACCATAGGATATATGCTAGTATCTTTACATGCTTGGTTACAACTGTTGAATGTGCTTATCCCATAGGATATATGCTAGTATCTTTACATGCTTGGTTATAACTGTTGAAGGTGCTTATCCCTATTTGTCGAGTCTATTCCGCTTTTGAAACTAGAGTTTCCTAGGATATATCTTCCTGCTTCAAAATGACTTTTCTTATATATATATATATATATATATATATATATATATATATATATATATATATATATATATATATATATATATATATATATATATATATATATATATATATATATATATATATATATATATATATATATACTTATACGGTATTTCAACGCGTTAGAGTGGGTTACCAGCATTATTCGCTGAACAGATATATTTGGCTTTCAGGCACAGACGATTAGCTCCGCAGCGCGTTAGAGGACCCAAGACTTAGATAGGTAGTTCTTATTCGGCCTGCGTGCCATGATGATGTAATGATATTGTTTGAGGATGATTAGATGGTTTAGCCTGTGCATCTGAGTTCTCCAGCTCAGATGTGGCATAACACCCCGTACTCTTGTGTTTAGTACTACTCTGCTTGGGATTTAATGAGAATTTACTTTTATTATATAAGTTTTAAAAGTCTTGAAAATCTGGGGTGTTACAGTTGGTATCATAGCTTAAGTTTGACCCTAGGATAAGACTCTTAAGACCAAGACCTTAGGACAATAGGCTTAAAACACTAGGAGTTCAGCAAGATAGGATTTAGGGATCATAGAACGCGCGGTGAGACTGTGAGACCTTACGCTTTCCCTCACCCTAACTCACACGTAATTTAAATAAACTTCCTCTACACCCATAGCATTAAGGTAAGGATGCAAAATAATACCGACCTATGAATCCCAGGATGGCACCAAAAAGGAAACAGGCAAAAGCACCAGAACTCCCCACACAGGAATTCTTGACTCAAAATCTGCAACGTCTGGCCCAAATTGCTCAGGCACTAAACAATACAGTCCTCCAACCGTCACCACCAAACGGAAACTTGGAAATCCACCGCCAAGTCTCGGAACACCAACCGCCTACCTTCTCAGGAGATGAAAATTCCACGATCCTCGAAGAATGGATCGGAACCTTTGACAAAATATTCAGGGCAACGGGATGCCCGGAAAGCCACCAAGTAGAGACGGCCTCCTTCTACTTCAGACACGAGGCCGACACCTGGTGGGTCCACGAGAAACCCAATTGCGTACAAAGCCCCGGGTTCAACTAGGAAACCCTAAAAATACGACTACGAGAACAATTCTACCCCAGCCACCTGAAAGCAACTGTATACGAAGAATTCCTCCATCTAAAACAAGGAGCAACCCCAATCACAGAGTACTACCATCAGTTCCTCCAGCTAGCTCGCCTCACCCCCGAACTAGTACCTACAGAGATAATCAAAATCGAGAAATTCATAAAGGGCCTCAGCCTCAAAAACCAGAAGGCCCTAACTATACGAGAATCAAGAACTCTCGAAGAAGCCTATGCCAAGGCGTCCCAACTACAACAAATACCAAACAAACCATAGGAAACACGCCTAGGACACAAAAGAAAATTCAAAGGGAACCACACGAACCCCCTCCGGGAGCCTAAAACCGCCAGGGCCACCTCGCCCCACAAAGCCGTAACACCGGCCACTCAAGGAAGGATCCTCACCATAAGTAAGGCCAAAATCGGATATAGCGACATAGTCTCCGGAACCTTCCTTGTACACACCACCCCCCGCCACCGTACTATTCGACTCAGGGGCTACCAACTCATTTATAGCAACCGAATTCGCCACTCAACTCAATCTTAACACCAGCACCAGAGTGCAACTCCAGGTCAAGGTAGCATCCGGTGAAATCATAAAATGTGACCGCATGTACAAAAACATAATAATCACCATCGAAGGAGTGGAATTCCGTAGCAACCTAATACAATTCAGACTGGATGGGGTATAAGTGATCTTGGGCATGGACTGGCTAGGGAAATTCCAAGCACAAATCCTATGCGGTGAACAAAAAGTGGTCTTACGGGGACCAAACGGCAAAAGGGTATCCTACCACGGAACCCACAAGGACCCGGAAATCAAATTAGTAAACATGATAAAAATGAAGAAATATCTAACCCAAGGGAACGAAGCCTTCCTATGCTCAGTCAAGGACCTCAACACCGAAATAGCCGAACCCCAAACCATTCCAGTGGTAAACGAATTCACCGACATCTTCCCAGACGAAATCCCCGGAGCACCCCAAACCAGAGAAGTCGAGTTCATGATAGACCTGATATCAGGCGCTGCCCCGATCTCAAAACCACCCTACAGGCTGGCGCCAAAGGAAATGAAGGAACTGAAAACACAACTTCAGGAACTACTAGATAAGGGATACATCCGCCCCAGAACCTCACCATGGGGAGCACCAGTATTATTCGTTAAAAAGAAAGATGGGAGCATGCGTCTGTGCATCGACTACAGGGAGCTAAATCAAGTTACAATAAAGAATAAATATCCTCTTCCCCGAATCGACGACTTGTTCGACCAACTTAAAGGAGCAGGGGTGTTCTCAAAAATTGATTTAAGATCCAGATACCATCAGATAAAAGTGGCCGACCCAGATATTAAGAAAACAGCCTTTCGAACACGTTACGGCCATTACGAATTCACAGTAATGCCCTTCGGACTCACCAATGCACCCGCTATATTCATGGACCTCATGAATCGAGTATTCCGGCCCCACCTAGATGACTTCGTCATTGTATTTATCGATGACATCCTGGTCTACTCCCGAAATAAAGAAGAACATGAAAAGCACCTCTGCACAACCTTGCAAACCCTGAGAAAACACCAACTATACGCCAAGTTCTCCAAATGTGAATTCTGGAAGGACAACGTAGCCTTCCTGGGTCACGTGATAACCAAAGAAGGAATCAAGGTGGACCCCACAAAAATCTACGCCGTCAAAGAATGGCCCACACCAAAATCACTTTCGGAGGTTAGAAGCTTCCTAGGATTAGCAGGCTATTATAGGAGGTTTGTACCCGATTTTACCAAGATAGCTCAACCTCTCACCAAGCTCATGAGAAAGGAAACCCCCTTTCAATGGGACGACGACTGTACCACAGCCTTCAAAGAATTGAAAGAGAAGCTGACCACGGCACCCGTCTTAGCCCTTCCCTCTGGGATGGAAGGATTCGAAGTCTTCAGCGACGCCTCCAAAAAGGGGCTGGGATGCGTACTAATGCAAAAGGGCAAGGTAATAGCTTACGTATCCAGACAACTCAAAACCCACGAAGAAAATTACCCCACACACGACCTCGAGCTAGCCGCCATCGTGTTCGCCCTGAAAATTTGGAGACATTACCTATACGGAGTATAATGCAAGATTTATACGGATCATAAAAGCCTAAAGTACATCTTCACCCAGAAAGATCTAAACATGCGACAACGAAGGTGGTTGGAACTTATAAAAGATTACGACCTAGATATCCAGTACCACGAAGGAAAAGCTAACGTTGTGGCGGACGCCCTAAGCCGAAAGGCTAACCACTCCCTCAACACCACCTGGGTCCTGCCAGACCAGCTATACAAGGACTTCCAGATGTTGAACTTGGAGGTAGTAGAGCAAGGACAAACCAATTCTGAGATCCACCTATTCAATGCCAGAGTCACACCCACACTACTCGAAGAAATCAAGGCCGGACAACGCCAAGACCCGGAACTAAATAAAATTCGACTCGACCTAACTCAGGGAAAGGACGGACCCTTCGAAATATGCGAAGACGGCAGCCTCCGCTATCAAGGGAGATGGTGCGTACCCACGACACACCCCCACCTAAAGCAACAAATCCTGAAAGAAGGGCACAACTCCCCGTACTCAGTGCACCCCGGAGGCGACAAACTATACCAAGATGTGAAAAAGATGTTTTGGTGGCCCAACATGAAAAAGGAAGTCTCAGACTTCGTGGGCAAATGTCTGAACTGCCAAAGGGTAAAGGCCGAACGATGCAAGCCCAAAGGACTCGTACAACCCCTTCAAATACCACAGGGGAAGTGGGATTCCTTTCGTCGGAGGATTACCCACAACCCCAACACGCAAGGATAAAATCTGGGTAATAGTGGACCTGCTAACCAAGACAGCACGGTTCATTGCTATGAAAGAAACATGGACAATGACGCAACTAGTCCGGGCCTACCTGAATCGAGTAGTAAAATACCACGGGATCCCCCGAAACATTGTGTCCGATAGGGATCCCAGATTCCTCTCACAATTCTGGAAATCCCTACAAACAGCCTTGGGGACACTGCTGAACCTGAGCACTGCCTTCCACCCTACTACTGACGGCCAAACCGAAAGAACCATTCAGACTCTAGAAGACATGCTAAGAGCCTGCATGTTAGACTTCTAAGGGACATGGGAAGAACATCTGGACCTCATCGAATTCTCTTACAACAACAGCTATCACGCAAGTATCCGCATGGCTCCCTATGAAGCTCTGTACGGTCAAAAATGTAGAACCCCCTTATGTTGGGAAGACATGGTCGGCCCAGTAGCACTAGGACCCCAACTCTTACAAGACACCATAGCTAAAGTCAAACACATACAAGAAAGAATGAAGGCCGCCCAAGACCGCCAAAAATCCTACGCCGACCTAGGAAGAAAACAAGCCGAGTTCGTCCCCGGAGACAAAGTCTGGTTAAGAATCTCGCCCACACGAGGAGTAATGAGGTTCGGAAGAAAAGGGAAACTCAGCCCCCGGTTTATCAGCCCCCGGTTCAGCCTACTTACTACCATAACTGTCTAAACTAATAAAGGAAGCTGCTTAAATAAATGAAGAGATCTCCGAAAAATCTGCTAATAACCGTCTCTAGGTGAGCACCCAGCCGGGGATGCCTTGAATGCCTAGGAGAGGCTCTAAAGGGGCTGCGGTACTCGGGCGACGACACCCTGACCGCGGAGCCTGGTCGCCCGATTAAGTTCCTGAGTGGTACCCGATCGAGGACACATCACCCACGGAGCTTGGTCGCCCATCCGAATCCCGCACGACATTTAGTCGGGGACACGCCAACTACCAAGGTTGGTCACCCAACCGTGTCTCATATATGAGAGTCGATGACACACCTGTAACACCCCTAAAATTTAAAAATTTGAATGCTTATGAAATAAAG